ATTTTATTAATTTTAAAACTAATTCTTAAGAAATCTTTTTCTCTAAAGAATCTCAGAATAATATATTATATAAAAAGAAGAGGTAAGCAATATAATAATATAGGCATCCGGATTGAAATCCCGACGAATCCGTATCGACCCCGAAGCGGCTGCTATAGTGGTAGATAGGAGCTGCTGTAGCGGTAGGTATTGTATAACACAGTATTACTATTCTTAAAAAGCCGAATATAATATTAATCTATTTTAATAGAGCATCTATAATATTTTATATATTATTAAATAAAAAACTGTTTATATAGACTATAAAAGCTAGATCTAATCATTTTCAGATTATTAAATATATTTAAATCTGTTTTAATAATAATTCAAAATAAAAATTAGTTTTTCAAAAGATTATAACTAAAAGATATCTGCTTAAAAATTCTATAGAAAATATTTTTAAAAATATTTAATCTTACAGCTAGTTGATTATAAAAGATTTTATAATATATTAATTTATTATAATACATTAACTGGTTTATTAAACTAGAAAAAAGCATATTTTATTTAGTCCAAGCTATTATATACAAATAAAATAATATAATTAATATAAAAAATATAATAAAGCTGTTTTATCATATATATAGCCTAGTATACTAGTTACCGACTAATTATCATAACCACTATTATACAGATCTTAAGCCTGCTAGATGCTGCAAGATTGAATTTATCATTATCATTATCATTATCATCATCATTATCATCAATCAATTAATCAATCAATCAATCAATCAATCAATACACATTAATACACATCTTTGAGCTGTCACAGACATACTATATATTAATTTTCTATATGAATATACCATTGTTGCTAACTTAAAAGAACAGCTAGATACTGAGGATTGAGAAGATGAAGCCCGACGGCAGAAGCTATAGGCAGAACAACCGCGCTGCAACAGATACGCGGATAGCGACCCACCCTTTTTACCGGAAAGGCCGATCCCCCAATCAGCACGCAAGGAAGCATTCAAGCTTTTGTTGCCCAGTCCCTGTCCCTTCCTTTTCCCTCCACCTTCACCCGGCGCGCTTTTCTCCCCACAATACCGACAAACACCACGCCAGTAGAAATAATAAGATGTGTAGTCCTAGTAGAGGCTTTTTTTTTTAAAAAAAAGAATAACATAGTACATAGTGGTCAACACCAGGATACCATACTTGTTAATCATCTGGATATTCGTCGGTAATATTACTCACAAAAACACTTCTATCATTATCCCATCTCTTGAAGTGTTTGCCTGCAATTGCGACCAAACTGTGTGGCAAATCTGCTATCTCTGTGACAAGAGGCTCAATGCTTTCTTCTGCCACGTACCGAACACTTCTATCCTCAACACTGGAATTGTTAGCCTCACAGTCGGTTAGTAACCTTATCAAACACAGTCACATACAGTACATGATAGAAACTTTGGTGTCGACCATTTCGAAGATTGTCCACTCCCATACGTCTCATCCACTGCTCACCCGCACCACACTCCACATCCCACCCAGTAATAATGGCGCGGTATGCGTATCGGCGATGCCTGAAAACCTGGCCAATTCGATACCTGACGCTGCCATCTTGAGCGGAGCGCTTTTTGACCTCCCTCGGAATCCCGTCCACAGCCCGCATAACATGAAGGCTTTCCAAGATGTTGTCATGCTCAGCCATACCGTTGAAAATAGGAGTGATGAAGTGCTCAACCAGATTTACATCTGATGGAAATTCCATGACTAGAAGCTCCATTAACCATGGAAGGTTATGCCTCAACTCGATAGAGCGAGCCGGATCCGAAAGTAGCATAGATGACCAGACAGCGGCATATTTTGCACTGGCCAAATCAACTGATGCAGAATGTACGTCGTCAAAATCACCACCGTGCTGAATAGAGTTTAATATGTTCTTGCTGGAACGAAGCACGATCTCCGACACCTCAGACTTCCCAAGGAACGTCGATTGCTCCGCAGCGGAGGCTCCCAGAAAGTTCAACTGATGCTGCAGATCCGTAACTGGTGTCTCCTTGTCTGATCTGAACGGATCCATATAAATAGGACCTCCTCGCATTCCAGCTTCGACTGCATGACCATCGACATCATATCCGGTCGCAGGCATGATAATTACGTGAACGTGAAAAGGAAAACCGCATGGCCTCGCGTCGAGGCCTAGTTTCTGTGCAACATGGCAGTAAATAGCAGCCGAGACTAGAGGAAGTGAGTTGTGAGCAGGATCATTCAGTGAAACACCTAAGAAATTATGCTCCAGGCGGTGATAGTTCCTTCCCGGTTCAATACCATTGAAATTGTTCGCTCGAAGGAAGCCTGCGATGGCTCTAGCCTTATTACGACAGGTTAATTGTTGAAATTGTGGGTGGTTTTCGATAAATAGCGATGTGACATTATCCAATTTAATGACGATCTTCAAAGCCAGTCAGTTATGGTGACATTCCCAACTGAAGATGATAGCCTACCTCTTCCAGACTGCCAAACCCACTCTCCGGGATGAATAGATCGAACGCTCCAAGCGCCCTAGTTAAAGACACAACTTCTCCACGTCTAAGGTTCTCCCATTCCCGGATGGCAAAGTTTCGATGGAGACAGGACAAGACCGCTCTGGCGTAATATCTTTCATGGTAGACGTATGGTTAAACAATATGGCAGGCAGAAAGAATATGAAGTTAATGGTACCAACCTCCGTGCCAAATGGTCTTCTGCCTCGGGCCCCACAGAGATGTTATGTGAAAGAGCATCTTTAGCATCGTATCCAAGGTCAGTTATGGCTTGGATCTGCTCGATCCTCCCAGCCTGACTGCGGAGGATATTGTTCAGCAGGCGTGTAGTTGCGCGGTAGCTTGTATGCTTCGTTACATAGAGCTGTTTCCAATCTGTACTTGATATGGGAGCTGTCAACCTCTTAGACAGTTCGTGACCAGGGGCCCAATATTTGAACTGTGTCAAACAATAAAAGCGCCATAGTGTCGGTTCACTAGTGACTCCGCGAAATCTGCGAGCTGTTCGTTCTAATGCAGCCGTGGAGAATGGTTCACAGTAATGAAGGACGTGTTGTAGCAGCTCTTCAGGGAGGCAATCAAGAGACAAAACCATACCGCTAAACAAGTATATAAGGATGACTTGTGAAAGTATGACAAAATGACCCCAATACTAGACTGGGCAACGCAATGAGTCGCCACACTAGTGAGCACCTGTATGTACCGATATCATTTGAGGTTGGAGAACACGAATCAGAGTTAGGCGGATACCCGGGTACTTTTTTTTGTTGACCTACGTAGTAAGAGTAACCATAATTCGTCACATATGTCCTTCAATCCTTCCTTATTAGCATTGAGGAACAAATACCGCAGGAATGGGCCAATATTACTCCACAACCAACACTGAAGAACCCGGTACCTCTGTTGATAAGAATAAGAGGATCGGGTACTATGAACTCTTGCAGGTCGCTCGAGACGCATCTGGAGAAGAGTAAGCCATTTCTTTTGGCCCTCCCTTCCCTTCTCATCCTCTCTGTCTGGCTTACTTTAGACTGACACCATCTGCCGGCTGCTTAAAAAGAATTAAAAAGGCATACAGGAAAAAAGCTCTGGAGTTACATCCTGACAAGAACTTTGGAAATGTGGAAAACGCGACGAAGCTATTTGCGGAGGTTCAGGCTGCTTACGAAGTGCTCTCAGATCCCCAAGAGCGCGCCTGGTATGATTCTCATCAAGAAGCCATTTTAGGGCAGGATGGAAATTTTGAAGATGTCAGATTATCAAACAATACCAAAATCACGACTGCAGGTGACATATTCGGGCTGTTTTCACAATTCAGTCCTCGAATGGAGTTCTCTGATTCCCCTGAGGGATTCTATGGTGGTCTTCGTGAGATTTTCTCACGTCTCGCTCTGGAGGAAGAGCTAAGTACCTCCGGCGAAGGAACAAATACAGCAAAGTATCCAACCTTTGGTCATCGTGACGATGGATATGAGGAAGTTGTGCGTCCTTTTTACGTGGCCTGGAGTGGCTTCTCAACCACAAAGACATTCGCGTGGAAAGATAGATACCGTTATTCAGAGGCCCCAGACCGACGTGTTAGGCGGCTGATGGAGAAAGAGAACAAACGTCTACGTGAGGATGGAGTTCGGGAATTCAATGATGCAGTCCGGTCGCTTGTGGCGTTTGTTAAAAAGCGTGACCCTCGATACAAGTCCAATGTTCAGAGTGAATCTCAGCGACAAGAATTTCTTCGTCGTTCCACTGCTGCGCAAGCTGCAAGGTCACGAGCAGTCAACCAAGCCAAGTTTCGCGAATATGTCGCACCAGAGTGGGCGACGTCACAAGATCACAGTGAGATTGACTCCGATGGCAGCTACAATATCTCAGATGTCGCGGTAGAGCATTTTGATTGTGTTGTGTGTGATAAAAGCTTCAAGAGTACTAAACAATTTGAGACACACGAACGAAGCAAGAAGCATATCAAGGCCGTCAAACAGTTGCAAAGAGAAATGAGGGCTGAGAATAAGCAGCTGGGGTTAGTGGATGATTTCTCCACCCTCAACTCTGCGCAGAAAACAACCGCCTTGCCATGTAACAGCTCAACATCTGTTCTAGACATGAACAAGAAGTCACGTTCAGCTTCACCAAGTCACGAATCGCTGGATTGCAGTAGTTCAAATGCAGAACCAGAGGGTGAAGACAACCATCTCGACAAACATGATAGCCCATGTACTGGCATCATCGCTACTTCCAGTTCCTCTAAGGAGGCAAATAATAGTTCAGATTGTGACACTGACTATGCGCCTCGAGATTGTGTGGAAGGTCGACTTCAGCTAAAAGACGATGATATACAAAATCCGGCAGACACAATGAATAATCTAACTGAAAATTTGTCGGCAACACAGATACACGAGCAGCCACCGGTGACTCCAGCAAAATTGGGAAAGGCCAAGCTAAAGCGTCTGAAGAAAGCCCAACAAGCCGAGAATGAGGCTCAAGACCGCCGATGTGCTACCTGTGGTGTCGACTTTGCCTCTAGATCACAGCTTTTTACCCATATCAGAAAGTCTAACCATGCTCAGCTCCGGGTGCAGGCACTTGCAACCAAGAGGTGATTTTGTCGCATTGAGCAAAATAGCGTGGATATCTCGACTGCATCAAGCCCTCCTTTGTTGCAAATTCTGTGGGCAACCACCAGTAGCTATATCTCGAAAATTTCATGAAGTACTACTGGCAAGCTGCTTCTACAAAACGAACTTTGATCAACGTGATTAGCGAGGCCTGCTGCAGGCGTCTCCTAAGACGTCAATCTAGCCAAGGCCAGCCCTAGAGTTCTTTACAACGTGCGCCACCGGCTGTAGGATACCCTTGTTATTGGTAGCCCCCAAGGGTGTGCCAATGCTCCAACCCATCTTTTCAAGAATAGCCCTCCCTCGGTTTCCTGCGCCAATTTCAGGTGCCGAAGCACCAACAACTTCCCCATCCATGTATGTTGCCGATGCGTCGGGGCGGCCACGTCGAGCTTTGGCTGGTTTTGTCGCCTTGTGGTCCCAAGATTTGGAGCCTCGTTGGACGTACTTGCCCTTCGACAGTATTCGTTCCAATTGAGGGATGGTTTGCTGGGTAAAGCCCGGAGTCCGTGACGTCTTGTTCATGATTGGAAATCGATTTGTTCCTTTACCCCGTGACTGCGAAGTGAGACACAACATGTTTGCCAGTTCATGCACTAGCTTTCGTTGTTGCTTCGCCATTGGAGGGAGAACCAAGCTGTTGGTGCCATATTGCGTTAGTCTAAATACTAGAGCATACAATGAAGGTGTCGGAAGGTACCTATGCTTTGTTGACAGCAGAAAAAGTCGTATTTCCATCTTCAGTTCGGTGCTGTCCATTCCTTTCGCATACTTCACCCTGAGATCTGGCTCGCCATTTCGTCGACCAAGCAACCCTTCAGAGCGAAGTTGCTCTCTTTGCTGCTTTCTCGATTTTTTCTTAGCGCGGTCGGTTTCCCATGCACTCAAGAGTTCCGCCTCCAGGTCACTGTCGGGCAAGTAAGCATTGAATCCACGACCAGTCCGTTTGGGCTTTTGCTTCAGACTGGGTCGGTTGAAGTCCATGATATCAAACCCGTAGTAAGGATCAAGATCTAGCGCGTCAGCAAACGCATTCGCCGATGCAAACATGCTTTCCTCTTCGTCATGTTCTTGTTGAACATCTGAAGGGGGATCTCTAGTCTCCCATTCGTTTCCATGAGCAGAATCAATATCAGAGGACGAGTCTGGCAGCACTGTGCTGTTCAATCCACCCCCCTCCGCGTGCTCGGGATCATTGTCGATCAGTTGACTGCTTTCCCTGTATCCATCCGTACCTGGGGCAATCAACAGGCCCTGTGTTGTCAGTCTCACCTCCAAATCGTTGCCTAGTACAGTTAGCATGAGAACATATATCGCAAGAATATTTCCACCTACATCCTGCACGGTCGACGCACTCCTTTGAGGAACCCCGGCGAGCGGCTTCAATACGAGATGATGTTGCTCTATCGGTACGTCCCCTGCTGCTGTTGAAACGTGGTGAATGACCTGTCTTCACCATGGTATACGCTTCAGAACCTCTATCCTGGCTGCGTCCGCCCTGCAGGATAGAATATTCATCATCCATGTTTGCGATATAATCAGCTAGGACAGCGTCTTCGTCTGTCGTTGAATGCCTCCGAATCGTCTTCTCCTTCTTCTGTGTCCTTTTGACCTTGAGACTGATATAATCTGGACATTCACCCAGTCCCTGTCCAACCGAGGACTCCTCTGCTGGAGCTATGTCGGGTCTGAACGGTGGGACACTTTCGGGGCATATATCAGGAGGGAGTGTGCGCCTTTTGTCGTCGGCGGGGCTGGGTATGTCTGCACACTTGGCGACGGATATCGACACTGATCCTCTATGAGTGTGCTCGGCGACCTGATTTCGGCGCCCCGAGAAAACCACCTCGTCCTCGCTGGAGTCATCTGTATTCGGAGACCATGATGTGGCTATGTCCGATGTGGCTCTAGGAGTGAGATCTTCCTCAGGCAGTTCGAAGTGGCATTGGTCATGGTCAACTGCAAATGATAGGCTTGAAATCGTGACAGCATCAGATGACTCTACATTTGACAGATCCTGGGGTTTGTAAAGAGGTTCTGGAGGCCGTGGACTTTTTTCTTGATCTAAATCTGATGGCGTGTTTCCTGCGCTGACGAATTGTATCACGTGGTGGCGAAGAGAGGTGTCTACCCTTCGTGAACTGCGGCCCTCTGTGTTGCGTGCTTCTTGTTGCAGTGTAAGATGGTTTTTGCCTGTGGCTTCTGTGGGGTCAGCATGAACATGTGAGTATTCATGGTAAACGGGTGCCAGTACCTTGAAGGCTGGATACTGTTCCTTTATGCTTCTTAACCCTCGGCTTCACCTTGGACCGTGGCATCCTGGGGCCGCTCTTTTGTGTGCGTAAGTGCTTGCGGCAGTGAGGGATGTACCTGAAGGATGTAAGCGATGTGTAAGAACTGCAGTAGTTACTTTCAAACCTTACCCGAGGGGGCGGCTCTGGGTTTTCCACTTCGTCGGGCGGGCGGTGAGTGAATGTCTGCGGGGGGGATCCGATGTCCACACTCCACCTGGGTGGGTATCTACTAGTATCTACACAGTAGATCACTGAAGCTGCCAGTCCAGGCATGTCTGCACTGCCTGCTTCAGATAGATTGTGCCCTTAGTAGGTATTTCCACGACACATATATAGTCCTTCAAATACTTTGTCTCTGAAGTATAGGATATTTCTCTGTGAGGCACTATCATAGTCGTCCGGTCTCATGTGTTTATATATTCTTCTACCGTTGTATAAACTTCACCAGCATTACGCCCCAAACGAGGGACTTGGAACACACGGTAAAGTAAAGAACAAAAGAACGCTCCATCAAAGATCTTGTTAGGGCAGCCAGTAACATAAAGTATAAATGCCATGCCCATCCTGTTACCCCACCTAACGAGAGCCTTTTCAGCCAAATGGTGCAGCACCGGTGCTCATATGGCCCATTCCGCATGACCCAAGCGGGCCGGCGATGTCTTGGACCCACACCCCGCCGGACACTGACGTAGCAACCGAACCGGCGACAACCTTCCATCCTCTTGAGTGACCAGAACTGAGCACCGTGCGAACTCAAAGAGATACAGCAACCATGAATGCCGCGGATATCGGCCGCTGCAGCAAACGCATCGTGCAGTATATATGGGATCCCGAGCCCAGGAACGACAGAGAACCACACGAACCTATCTGGTGTTTGGGGGTAAAGTACCTTCCTGCCGAGGGGCCAGAAGCCTCGCAGACCAAGACCCGTAAGCCCGCAACCACATGGTCCCGAATAAACAAAACAAGATAGAAGAGACACAAAGGAAGAGTGCCCCAGCGAATTGAACAGATCAACTAATACCCGCATATCACCTAGCCGATGATGGCCAAGAGGAGTGTGACGGAGGCAATGAGGTTGCATCAGCGGTCTCAAAGACACAAGGCACATCAGAGCATTCTTGGCCAGAGACCTTCATCTCAGACTTTGAGTCAAGGATCTGGATGACTTATCGATCGAACTTCACACCAATACCCAGAACCGATGGCCACGATGCCAATGCATCCATGACACTAAGCGTCCGACTACGAAGTCAGTTGTTGGATACGCAAGGTTTTACATCAGATACCGGATGGGGCTGTATGATAAGATCAGGCCAAAGCCTACTGATCAATGCGATGGCCTTTCTGCTACTGGGGCGGGGTGAGAATTATGGTCTCAGACCCTTAAAGACGGCCACTCTACCTTGCTAACATCTTGATAGACTGGCGTCGCGGACAGAGACAGAATGATGAAGCCAGTTTGCTATCACTCTTTGCAGACACTCCCAGTGCCCCCTTCTCGATCCACCGTTTTGTACAGCATGGTGCACAGTCATGTGGCAAATTCCCAGGAGAGTGGTTTGGGCCATCCGCAACCGCCAGATGTATTGAGTATGTAAAACCCACACATTAAGGTATCGACTGGAACTGAAGATCAAGCTAGGGCGCTCTCCACTTCGTGGCAAGAACCAGCACTCAACGTATATGTCACAAATGATACAGGGGAGGTTTATCGAGACAGATTCCTGGAAATCGCACGTAGCGGGACAGGCGTGATTCAACCAACGCTCATACTTGTCGGAATAAGACTGGGCATCGATCGCGTGACACCGGCATACTGGAATGGCCTTAAGGCCGCGTTACAACTCCCCCAGTCGGTCGGAATAGCAGGGTATGTCCCCGAGTAGCTATCATCAAACTAAACTGATGCGATGAACACATTAGGGGACGTCCTTCGGCCTCGCATTATTTTGTAGGCCACCAGGGTTCGCATTTATTCTATCTCGACCCCCACTTCACACGCTCAGCGCTTCCAGACCGTGACACAGGGCAGTCATACTCGAAAGATGAGATCGACACTTACCACACGCGACGACTGCGGAGGATTCACATGCGGGATATGGACCCAAGTATGCTTATAGGGTTTCTCATCCGAAATAAAGAAGACTGGCAGGACTGGGAAAGTCGGTTGAAATCGGTAGAAGGCAGAGCGATCATCCATATCATCAATGAGATGGATACATCAAACATGGGGCGAGATGCTCTGGACGAAGTTGAGGTATTGGACGATACAGAATAGACACCCGGAACGAATGCGTGGCTCTTAGTCCAGAAAGACTTTCCAGACAATGTATGTCGATCCGGTAGAGCTGCGTGGATGGAAAGAATGGATATGGAAAGCAATTCAGAAATCGAATTCTGCTAGGGAAGGCAAAATTGCGCGACCAACCCCAGATCCGTGTTATGTTACACCGCATTCATGTCACGAAAACCATAAAAACATCTGGCCCAAGGGGAAAAAATAAAGCCATCCCATGACACATTAGAAAAATCCCGCGAACACCCTGTAACCCACCACCTCAGAACCGTTGCTGATGACGAGGTAGCATAAAAACAATCCCGCAGAAACAAACAAACAAAACAAGAAGCTTATTTGGCAGAAGAAGAGTACTTTGTGACAGCCTTAGTGCCCTCGGACACCGCGTGCTTTGCCAATTCGCCAGGGAGAATGAGCCTCACACTACCTTTCGTCAGCCGGCGCCCCATGTTTTATTGAATTAGTGACTTACGAGGTCTGGATCTCCCGCGACGAGATAGTGGATTTCTTGTTGTAAGCAGCGAGCTTCGAAGCCTCGGTAGCAACTCGCTCGAAGATGTCTAAAGAAAGTCAGCATCTGTGATCAGATCATTATACGGCCAGGACCTAGACATACCGTTGACGAAAGAGTTCAGGATGGACATGGCACGAGTGGAGATACCAGTGTCGGGGTGGACTTGCTTCAAGACTAGAACGAGAATTAGCTTTGTGCATGGCAACATGTGAAACGGCCGTACCCTTGTAAATGTAGGAGGAATAGGTCTCCTTCCTGGTCTTTCCACGCTTCTTCTTGTCACCGGTGCTGGCAGAGGCAGTCTTCTTGCCGGCTTCCTTCTTCTCGGCGGGGGCCTTTCCAGCTGGGGCCTTGCCACCGGTGCTGGGCTTCTTCTCGGCAGCTTTAGGAGGCATCTTGAATTTGTGTTTAAAACGTAAAGGGTGAAGGTGAAGGCGGATTGCGTTGAGTTGTAGCGTGGAGAAGAACGGAGAGCAGGATGATGAGGAAAACTGAAATGAGGTAGACGCGGTGACGAGAGAGGCGCGCTACTTATACCAGCTCGCAAATGCCTAGTTGATCCTGAGGTCCGCGAAAGAAGCAGAATTTCAATACCGTATCAAATACGTATGATCTGTATGATTAAAGGGTGGGGAACGCGTCACCTACCGCCACAGAACGCCTCAGATCACGCTAGCATGACTGTATTGAAACGCATCCCCATCATTACAGAGCTATACCCCATAAGGTAGCCCCTACCCGGAATCATGCCAATTCCATCTCCGCCAAGCCATGCGCGCCAGGTGATATGATCTCTTCTTTGATTGGTTAGCCCCGCTAAGCGAGAGGGTGATCTGAAAGGCTCCCCATTAGCCTAACGTCACCCTTGTCGCGTTGTTATATATGTCCTCCGCTCCCTCGCGTTCGCCGTCAACCCTCAACCCCATAAACTAACCTTTTCGCCGTGTCGACGTCCTGACCCTATCGTATACCTTCTTCGCACGACTCTCACAAAACAAAAACAACAATCATCAAAATGACCGGAGGAAAGTCTGGAGGCAAGGCCAGCGGCAGCAAGAACGCCCAATCGTGAGAGCCACCATCCACCACCCGCCACAACTGAAGCTAACCCAATCATGTCTTCTAGCCGCTCGTCCAAGGCCGGTCTTGCATTCCCTGTTGGTCGTGTTCACCGTCTTCTCCGCAAGGGCAACTACGCTCAGCGTGTCGGTGCTGGTAAGCTCCTGGAATCGTCCCATTCGCCTCTATTTCCCTGACACGATGCCAGGTGCCCCTGTTTACCTTGCCGCCGTTCTTGAATATCTCGCCGCCGAAATCCTTGAATTGGCAGGCAACGCTGCCCGTGACAACAAGAAGACCCGTATTATTCCCCGCCATCTCCAGCTTGCCATCAGAAACGATGAGGAGTTGAACAAGCTTCTGGGCCACGTCACCATTGCTCAGGGTGGTGTCCTCCCCAACATTCACCAGAGTATGTTTCAAGTTCTCGATCTAAGTTGACTGACATAGTGCTAACACGATTTAGACCTTTTGCCCAAGAAGACCCCTAAGAGTGGCAAGGGCTCGGGTAGCCAGGAGCTGTGAACAATTTTTCTTTGGTTTGGGTTTTCTGATTCGGCGTGGATTGGTTCTCTTATTGATGTGATAACGGGGTTCTGGTCTGGGCACGTTAATGGCTCTGCGTTGTTTTCTTCCTTTTAGCTTTTAGTTTCATGGTTGTACATTATGTCCACGGACATGGAATGATACCGAGAATTATGGATACATTTTTTCAATATGCTGCATTCTAGACGTCGGCGTGTTGACTTGTTGTCACGACAGCGAGTGATACTTATTGCTTTTCAATATCTATGGTTTACTGCCTTGACAAGCCTCCTGCAAGTGTGCTATTCAAATTGTATTTTTGTAACAGATAAGCTAAAGTACTTTGTAGACGGCGATCAGTGGCCCGCAGGCTGGGCAGCGACTGATGGGTGTCAGTACGACGTGCCGGACAACATGTAAGAGTCTGTTATCAAGGACAAAACGCATGAACTTACGAGGCAACTGGGGGGCAGGAAGGTTTCTCTCCCATTTACTGCCTTATAGAAAGTTAGCACCTGATCCTTGCGGCAAGCTTGGACTAGCAATCAAATACCTCCTGGAGCAGTAGGCGCGCGATAGGGGTCCGGGTGCTTCCATGTCTCAAGTAGTTTCTCGGTTTCCTGTAACAGCACCTGTTGAATCGCTATTAGACTAGGTCTGATACCACTGTACATTGCAGCTCCAATTCAAGGATACCTTCTGTTGCCGAGGATCGCGAACGTCTTTGTTTGCGTCGAACAGTGAGCGAATGTAGACTGCCTGTCCTCGCCAAACCTGACGGTGAACAGCCCAATCCAGGGCAAGTTTGAGGGACCGTCGATAAAGGGAACTGTGATTCAGAGTCAGAGTGTCTCTAGAAGGAGTTCAGTCGACTGACTTACGCAGCGGCGCTAAGAGGCATTGTGTCTGGGGAAGTCAGTGTTGAAGAAAGGGATGACGATAATGTGCCCTCGGCTTCGAGTTCAACCTCATTTGACAATTAGGCCTGCGGCGGTCCTTGGCGGGCGCTGAAAAGTGCCAAGTTGGCAGTTCTAGACAGCCGAAGTAGCGTAATAATTATACTCCGTTCATTTGCCGGTCGCAGGGAAAAATGCAGCTGCTCTTGAGGGAAATCCCGGTTGTCTCGGCCCGGGCTCAAGCTCACGTACCCCGACATAAGTTTCGTCACTCCCTCTTAACTTACTTTCAATAATTGAACCTGCATTCCAAGTTGGATCACAACTCCACTGTCTTCGCTTCGCCTGCTTCCCAGAGATTATACAGCGGCTTAGGATTGTATCTTGTCTTTCTCGGACGTTGCTGTTGATAACCATCATTGTTCTTTTTTGTTTCTTTACTTAGGTCATCATGGCTTCTCGACTCCCCTTTCACCGTCTGGCTCGGAGCACCCAGGCTTTCCGCACTGTTTCTTTCGGTCGCCCCAGAAACTTCGCCTCGAATGCGCTCCAAAGAAATGCTAAAGTGGCCTGTCGGCTGAACCCGGCTCTGCAACGGTTTACGGGTTTGGGGTAAGTCCTTCGCGATTAAACGGCTTGGGTAGCAACAGACGGCTTAGAAAGGCTCAGAAGCTTCACCAACCCTACTGCTACTCCCTTCGGAGCCCACCAAGTTAGAACCTATGGTACATCAAGCACCCCATATATTTGCCGGCTGCACTAACTTGACGACCCATAGCGGACACTGTTGTCAAGGTCCCACAGATGGCCGAGTCTATCACCGAAGGCACCCTGAAGCAGTTTTCGAAACGTGAGGCTCTATAGGCGTCCACATTGCTAGAATTCACTGACGGTATCATCAGAGGTCGGGGATTACGTTGAACGAGATGAGGAGATTGCGACAATTGAAACTGACAAGGTACGAACGCTTAATGACCATGAAACGTGGACTTTGAGATACTCCACGCCCAGCAGCCACTTACCCGTTCTAGATTGACGTCTCCGTCAATGCTCCAGAGTCTGGCACGATCAAGGAGTTCCTGGTGAGCGAGGAGGACACCGTTACGGTTGGTCAGGACCTTGTTAGACTGGAGCTCGGAGGTGCCCCGGAAGCGAAGAAAGAAGAGGAGGCATCTCAACAGTCTGCAGAACCAGCTAGTCCCAAGAAACCCACGGCTTCGGAGCCAGAGCAAGCAAAGACGTCTGAGGCACCAAAAGCGCCCACTCCCGAGAAGCCCGCCGCCAAGGCAAATGAACCCGAGAAATCGCAGCCCGCGGCACCTAAGTCCCAGGCTCCCGAGGACAGCAAACCCAGCATTGGGGGCCGTGAAGAGCGGAGGGTTCGTTGCTATCATAATCTTTGTGTCATGGCCTAGTTTGAATTCGCTAACACGACATGCCACGTTCAGGTGAAGATGAACAGAATGAGATTGAGAATCGCCGAGCGCTTGAAGCAGTCTCAGAACACGGCAGCCTCCCTCACCACTTTTAACGAGGTGGACATGTCGTCACTCATGGAGTTCAGGAAGCTCTACAAGGACGATGTGCTGAAGAAGACCGGTGTCAAGCTGGGATTCATGAGCGCTTTTTCTCGTGCATGCGTCCTAGCTATGAAAGATGTCCCTGCAGTCAATGCATCCATTGAAGGGCCGAATGGCGGTGACACCATTGTCTATCGAGACTATGTCGATATCAGTGTAGCCGTCGCCACTGAAAAGGGTCTTGTGACACCGGTGGTCCGTAACGCGGAGAACATGGACCTTGTCGGCATTGAGAAGTCCATTGCAGACCTCGGCAAGAAGGTCAGTCGCACAAGCTCATTGGAACTCGCAACTTAATCTAAGTTCTCATTCCAGGCCCGTGACAACAAGTTGACGATCGAGGACATGGCCGGAGGTTCTTTCACCATCAGCAATGTAAGTTGTGTTTTGTCCATACTTGACATCGAACTCCATTGACAATGCTAACTTCACAGGGCGGTGTTTTCGGCTCTCTCATGGGCACGCCGATCATTAATCTTCCACAGACGGGTAGGCCCCACGCCTTAGGCTAGTACATAGTAGACAACTGACTAACTTGGTCAAGCCGTTCTTGGACTTCATGCCATCAAGGACAAGCCTGTTGCCGTCAACGGTAAAGTCGAAATTCGCCCTGTAAGTCCTCCCTGCATCCTTACCGTCCTCTTAGCTTATGCTGAAGTTTGAACCAGATGATGTATCTTGCTCTGACTTACGATCACCGCCTTTTGGATGGCCGGGAGGCTGTCACTTTCCTTGTCAAGGTCAGGCACCGAACCTGAAGCATTCTAACTCAGAAACTAACCTTATCACTTACTCCAGGTCAAGGAATACATTGAAGACCCCCGTCGCATGCTTCTGGGCTAAGCTGATTGCCACGACTTGTTTACCGTTCGGCAGCGGAGGCCCAGGGACCATTACCATCTCCGCGCGTTCCTGATATCCTGGCGTGTAGAATATTGTTTTGCATGGGTCCCACTTAGAAATCATTTATCGACATTGGTTACTGTTCAATCCATGTAGAGAGGCCCACCATTGCAGCTAGTCTTGTGATTTGTCTCCCCAATGTCCGACTATAAACTGTACAGATGACCGAATTATGGGCATTCATAGTCCTACTCTTTCTTTAAGCCGCCTGGTCTCTTCACGGGTGAGTCCACCAAGTTTCCCTCTCTCTAACTGCAGCAGTATGGGTGGATCTAGCGATTGCATTAAGTTGGTCAGGTAATCAACCACAGCACGTGCAAGCTGAGCTGCGGGTAGTTCGTTCGATATGTCCCTTAGGTGAACCTCTAGCGACAAACCGCTAGGTGGCTGGAAGTATTTCAGATACCCTTGTCGTCCTTTCGCCGGCGATTGTTCTTCTATGGCCTCGTGCACGCGGTGAATACACTCGTCGTAGTCCGAGGTTGATTGAATGCCGGCCGCCGCGAGCTCCTCTTGTGCGGCCGCCATAATCAGGTGAGCTGAAATGGCATCCTTGAGCTCTGACCAGCTCTCCCCTGGTCCTTCGCCTTCGCAGAGCGCGAGAAAGTTGGCCAGTAGGAACAAAGCAGTTACCACCGGAGCACTGTTCTGTAGTAAAGCATACCGGTGACAAAATATCACGGCAAAATTCAACAGTCGGTCTTTGGTATTTATGTCATCCGAAAGACTACTTGGGTCTAACAACACTGCTCTGGTCGCTAGTTTGGCAATTGGAAACAGTCAGTGCTTTGATGATGGAGACAATAGCTCAGCCATACATACTTTCAATTGTTCTCAGGTACCACTCGATATTATGGTCTTCTCGCTTCTGCCCTTCCGCCTTCGCTCTTCCGTGGCATAGAAGTTGGTCAATTGTTGTGCAGAGAAGATAATCGAACATAAGAATATCGACCTCTGCTTGAACGGTGGAGTCTGCTTCACTTTCCATGATTACATGTCAAGAGCAATTGACTAGTACGGTACGTGTCCGTTGGTCGCATGTCCACTATAGGGATTTTTGCCAGTCACATACATGACTATCATAACCAAATGTGTCAAGGCTAGCGATAAACCAGGGTACAGGTGAGCCCTTACTGACAGTCGTGAAGTGATTCAGAAAGCAGCTCAGCCAACCCTCGTTATTTCAGTGCTGTGGCACGAAAACCACTCACCGCTCATACACATCAGGTGACTTTTCACCTACTTTTTAAGGCCAAGTCACCTTTTCACTGTAAAGTATGGAGTACGGAGTACTCTTTCCCTTTCCCTTAGGCAATGGGGTTTTGTACAGTTGGGGTGCGGGAGTCTGTGCAAAGGGCGGCATAACAGCCAAATATGACAGGCGGTAAGGCTGTAAACTGTACAAAACCTCATTGCCTACACTGGAAGGGACTAACTAATAACTTACTAACTACTCGTCGCTGCGGCGCCCCTCCACCGCAGATGGAGGGCCGCCTTTACCTTACAAATAATTCTACCTCAAAAATACCAAAAAAACATATACTAATCCTACTTTTTTGATTATATATAACTTTATAAACTCAAGACATTAGATTTTAAGATTAAAATCTTATATCTTTTATATTCAGAATTATATATCTATCTTTTTCTTTTTTGATACTATTATATATCAAAAGAAATAGCTAAAAAGATACGTAAAATTTCAAATATTTTTAATTTCCTAATTATTATAAAAGATATACTTAGAAAGTATCTGTTTATTTAAAGATTAACTTTTTATATATTATTACTTCTATCTTTTTTTAAAATTAGTAAAGCCTAATCTTTTAAATTAATAGGTTATATATAATTAAAAAAATAGGATTAGTATATATTTTTTGTTATTGTAGCGTATATCGGCTAACTTGATATTCTACCGTTCGTTTAACACCGCCTTAGTCACCGCTCAAGCGGGAGAACTTCGGCCTCGCCGATTCTTCGGACTTTCTTCTCCTCTTCCTAAATCAATCAACTTATTCATGAAATTCAACTATTCCATAACAGTTATTCTTAAGGTGGAATTATTACTGAGGTAGAGGCACCAACCCCTGATAAGGGGTGGGTTAACGATAGCAATGAGTACTTAAATTTACATTTAGCCATGGCATTGAGGTTCATATAGTTGTTAATATCTATATTGGGAGTCCTCAGGGTTTACAATTAATATTATCCGTGGAATAGTATTACTATCCTTTGATGGTAGGGTTCTTTAATCGTGGTTCTAGTGTATCAAAGAAGTTTTATTCTGCTACCTGATCTAATTAACTTAATAACCAAATAAGTTAGTTAACTAACTAACTAGTTAGCAGTCCAGCTTAGGTCAGCAGATAGTCAATTCACAGCCCTCTACGGAGTATTTGGAGTCCTCGATGGCTTCGGTGCTTTATAGAACAGATATTAGTACTAAGTGGCCTGGCCAGTAAATATGTATGTATTTACTCTTGCCTGGTTGATGTTTTATTGTACGGCACATCAATATCTAAGCTTAAAGGTTATCCCATTTTGGCAACATGCGGGGGAGATTATTACTTGATTTATATACATCCACCTCTGCTTGCCCCTCTGAACTCCCAGCATATATAGTACTGTACACCGCAATAACAAGGTCCCATAAGCACTACGCGCAATTGGGGACGAAGCGAGAATCCACACCATACTACCAAGACATCCAGCCTATCACAGAAGGTCCAAGCATATCAGAAGCTCGGCTACCCAAGTCTGTTACTACATGTGCTGCAGTTTCCCGCTCTAACGAGTCCCGCTATAGTAAAGATACTTTACTTAGTTTTGCTGCCCCTATACAAATTTCGTTACTTTCTGTCGGCGTTTCTGGGTAAACTGGCCACGTGATCCGAAGGCCTTTGCTGTACCTCTTGTTCACACGCGGAGAACCTAGCTGGTAACAACAACTAAGAACCATCAAGAATCATACAAACATGTTCGGAATAGCCCCAACCCTGAGTTCTCAAATCGCTGACATTTTTGTAATATGACGAAATTCGTTGTATCGAGGTAGAACCATACCTAAATAAGTAAGAATTCATCTCTATTAGATTAGATAAAGCTTGTAAAGTCACTTGTTTGGTTTAAATAAGGGTCGGCACCTCAGAATATATATATATTTACTAAATATACTTGAGTATCTATTAAGTTCGCTATAACAATTCCCTGTTACAACAAATATACCAGGCCGGACAGATTGATTCGTTATAGCGGGGAACTGCAGTAAGTAATGCATGTAAAGCGGTTGTTAATTACTTGCGCAATCACAAGACCTAGTACGTTACAATAAATGACGTCATAAGCTGTCCGGATCACTCCGAAATCCCCTCCTCAAAGATCCTGTTGTTTTTGAATTAGTCCACCAACGGATGATCTTTATACTGATCTAATATACACCTATCGAGTATTACCGATCTACGTCTCTGGTAATCATTCTGCTGCTGCAGGGGTGCATACTCTGGAATATATGCTTGCTAGGACTTTCGCCACAACTACACCCTGCACGCAATCCGCCCGGACGCTATACTCAATGGCGTGGTACTGTTCTGGTTCAACCAACAGCGAACTGGTTGAGAACCTCTACAGGACCGGCCTTATAAAAAGTGAGAGGGTGAGAGATGCCATGAAAGGCGTGAGCAACCCCCTTCTTTCCCTTCTCACCCAGCAACCAAGAAATCTCGTTTTCTTCTCCCTGGAGATCACTATCTCTGCGAGAATCAGCCACGAGATAAAAAACCAACGGTATCCGGATGAGGTGAATCTTATGGTTGGAAGTCTGACAGATAGGTATGCAAGGTTGACCGGGCCCACTATGCGCCGTCAAGGCCGTACTCAGATTCACCGCAGCCAATTGGACACGCCGCGACGATCTCTGCACCGCATATGCACGGCCATGCATGTGAATATCTTATCGACTTTCTCAAGCCCGGCTCGCATGTCTTGGACATCGGGTCCGGTTCAGGCTACTTGACCCATGTCCTTGCCAACCTTGTCACTGATCCATCGGCTGCAAATCAAGCAAACGGCCAAGTTATTGGTATCGACCACATACCAGAGCTTGTCAAATTGGCCTGCGAGAATATGAGCAAGTCAGAGCAGGGCCGTAAGTACCTCAAGTCCGAAAGAGTGAAGTTCATTGCTTCCGATGGGCGGCTGGGATGGTCCCAAGGGGCGCCGTATGACGCCATCCATGTCGGCGCGGCCGCTGAACGGCTACATCCTGTATTGATTGAGCAGCTTCGCACCCCCGGGCGGTTGTTCATCCCCGTGGACATGGGCAGTGACGATGGAGAAGCAGGAAGTCTTGGGCCAAGCGGCGGACAGTACATATGGGTTGTCGACAAGAAGGCAGACGGGTCCGTCAGCAAAGAGAAAATCTTCCAAGTCAGCTATGTTCCCCTGACAGACCGCCCGAAGAAATGATCATGATTAACCTGCCCATATCTCTTGCCATATTTGATTGGATGCACAAGTTCGCACGTCGGGACGAAATCTACTGGAAGTTCGCGACTGGGATGTATGAAAATTACCTTGAATGTATGCCTGGAATTTTCAAAGGAAAAACTATCTCCGGATCACAAGGCGGCGATATATATGATACAAGGGAAAAACAGCTACGTAACGAGAGACAGTGATGGAAGATAGCGAGACGAGTAGGTCCATCGACATCAAATACAACCTTCCGTTGTCAACGAAAAGGGAAGCCACCGCCGGGAAAATTGAAACCCTGCCCGGAGAATTTGAATTGGGGGCCCCCTTGTTGAAAAAAGAATTGTTGACCGCTACCAAACGGCCCGGACTGAAATGGATTACCCCTCTGGGACTCGGGATCATTGGGATCGTCGCCGTTGTCATAGCGTCCTCTTAGTTCAGGATCTGATAAGACTTCGTAGGCCTCATTGATGGCAGCCATCTTCTTCTCAGCCTCCTCCTTGGATACTCCACGAGATATGACCTTGTCGGGATGATGTTGTTTTGTTAGCTGCCGATATGCACGTTTGATGGTACGCTCATCAGCATCACGTGTGACACCCAGAACCTTATAGTAGTCCTTTTGTCTAGAGCGCTTTTGAAGAACGTGAGCTTTCTGTAACAGGTCCTGGATTTTCTTAGAATTGGGATGATGCTCCTTGGCGTCATTCAGCACGCTTATTGCATCTTCAAAGCGATCCTCATCGATGGCCACTTGGCCTTTATACAGAAGACCTGCCAAGGACGATGGGTTCAGATCTAGCGCCTGAGAACAATAGGAGGCCGCTAGTTTACGGATCTGTATCTGGGTCAGAAGTGTTAGTGATAAGCCAGACAATCACGGAAAACAGACATTGACGAACCTCCTGGTAGGCCTCGCAGGTTTTCTCAACCAGCGAGGCATAGAGCCGATTGGGAGCGGCTGGGTGGATATATCCAGCTTCCCTTGCCTGCCTTACATCGTTCTGTACATCGACTATTAAACCACTATCGTCACCGACTCCGACCAGCAGATTGACAACATTGTTGAATTTTCTAGAAGTTGCAGCGCTTTCCATCGTCTGAATTCTTTTAAGAAGCTTCTTTTCTCTGCGGTAGAGACGATTGCAGATTTTCGAGTCGGGGTCTGAATGCAGGCATTTGCGAATCTGAAAAATGCCGCGATCATAGTCACCAAGGGAGTAGAATAGCATCGATGAAATCTGCAAATGGGGTTCTAAGGAGCCGGGAGATATTTGGGAGACATGTGCGAGGTCGCTAAGACCCTCCTCTATCTCCCCCCGCTCAAACCGACAATGAGCTCGGGTTTGTCGAAGGCTCAGAGACATGCTTGCTTTGCTGAGGGCTACGTTCGCGTGGCTAACGCAGACATCCCAGGAACCAAGCTTTTCTGCCTCTTGAGCAAGCAGCGCAGAGTCGTGCGCTTCCTGAAGCTCGTTGAATTCTGGAGACGAACCCTTACCAGCCTCGCCGAGATCCTCTAAAGCTCCTGCCCAATCGGCAGACTTAGCCCTGAGACGAGATCGCTGCAGAAGGGCGCTCTCAAAACCTGGCTTCAATTGCAGAACGCGATCGAAGTCGGCTAAAGCCTGAGAGTTCTTGCCTAATGAAAGGTAAGCAGCGCCTCTCTGGAAGAGGACCAGGTAGTTCGCAGGGTCTCTTGAGATGGCCGCATCGAAGTACTGCAGAGCGTCCCTGGGCGAGCCACCGGCAAGATGCGTTTTTGCAGATGCGATCAAAGATGAAAGTGGAGTGTCGTGAGATATTGGAGAGGGTTGCCAGCCTTTTACGACCGATAGGAAGGCCAGAAAGACCGCAAGGAGTCCCGGAGAGACGAACATCTTGTAAAAGGAGAGACGCCAATCGATGAGTATAGGACGGTGGAAATGTAGGATGTTATGGAAGTGGTTTCATATTAGTATGCAATATAAGATGTCGTAGACAAGAAGCGGCCAGTGACAGGGAGCAACGCGGGTAAGAATGACCTTTTTGATGGTCGGAGAGCAGGTTACATATTTTCAGGAATGTTGATAACAGCCAGCGCTGACCGTGGTGATTTATTATTGGAGATGTTTGTTGCGGGATGCAGCAAGTCGCAATCTTCCAGTCTGGCCTTTACGACACTGTACTGTACGTACATACAGTAATTTGCGCTTTGTCTTGCCCCGAAGCAACGGCTGGTTACCGTCCGGTAACTGTTTCATGCCGTACAGTATGGTTACAGTCCCTGATTGTGCATATCACGTGACAGAATTACACGTGGAAAATAGGCCGCTGTTCAAGTTTCGAGAGCAACAGACTCTACAATCGCATGTACGTGGCACTAGATGTTGTCGCCGGTATCGTCTGTTAACTCGGGAAATAGACAATGCTCGGAGTGCCCTGGCTCTGCTCTCGGTGTTTGGTTCGGCCAGCCAGAGCCTCTCTATATCGACGGTCGCTGCTACAACGTCGGACGTACAAAACAGGTCAGTTTGTTCCACGCTTGTGTGGTACTTTCGACGACCATGGCTCATGCGCAAACGAACAGGATCGGATATCTCTCCAGCACTCCTCACACACGCACGCACTCTGGCTGTCGAGCATGCTGCTCTAAGTACTCAACTAGCTGATTCCTTCGACGCCAAGATCGCAAAAAGGATTGGAGAGCTAGCACAGGTTGCAAACACTCTAAAGGAGTGGGATAATGCAAACGAAGCATGTGTTTCTTAGTACCTCACGTCAATCTGCTGGCGCTGACCAATGCACAGTCCATATCCGAGTTACAGTCCTTGCTAGATGATCCAAGAACGGAAGCCGAATTGAAGTCTTTGGCTATTGAAGACCTAGAAAGTAGCAAGCTTACATTGCCCAGCATATCAGAGAGTCTTAAAAAAGCGCTCATTCCTCGCCATCCTTTTGCAGAGCTCTCATGCCTGCTCGAGATCCGACCTGGCGCAGGTGGGGATGAAGCGGGCCTGTTTGCTTTCGAGTTGATGAAGATGTATATCGCCTTCTGCTCTCGCCGAGGTTTTCGTTGTACCATCATCAAGAAAGAAGGCGGAGAAGGGTCGGCCGAGGACCGCCTTAGCGAAGCAGTTCTGGAGATAGAAACGGATAGTGCGTACGATACCATGAGAACAGAGTCAGGCGTGCACAGGGTTCAGAGAGTCCCGGCTACGGAAGCCAAGGGCCGTACTCACACTAGTGCTGTGAGTGTAATGGTCCTCCCTAGCTTCCCTGAAACAGGAAGTGGCACCGATGGAGCGCATGGTTTCGATGATCCCAACAGCGACTATTACATTGACCCACAGGAAGTTCGCACGGAGAAGATGCGAGCTAGTGGTGCTGGCGGACAGCATGTGAACAAGACTGAATCTGCGATTCGCTTGACGCATGTACCGACTGGTATCGTAGTCTCGATGCAAGATTCACGGTCCCAGCATTCTAATCGAAAGAAGGCATGGCAAGTTTTGCGTGCGAAATTGGCCGAACAGAGGCGAGAGGCGAGAGAACAGGAACTTGTTGAGCTCAGGAGAGGAGCTATGGGTGGCATTGCCCGAATGGGCCGAGGCGATAAAATCCGCACGTACAATTATGGGCAAAGTCGCTGCACAGACCACCGTAGCGGGCTCACTGTGCACAATCTAGACGACGTCCTAGCTGGTGGGCAGGGGTTAGAGTCCGTAATGGATAGTGTACGGACATGGTTTGGTGATCGCGAAATCGCAGTCATGGCGGCAGAAGCATCGATCAAGCACGAGGTACAGCGACGTGCTTAGCAGGCATGGGTGTATAGATGATGGTGCCAAATATTGCCATAATAACTACGCTGTTAAGCAGGTTTTTACCAAGCCCATTCGACTACAATTCGATTTCAATCGCGCACACACAGCCCGTAATGTTTCTATACACCAACCAGCTTCATAACGACTTAGATATAACGCCTCTCTGGATCAAATGTGTCCAATGCCTCCATCGTCTTCTCGTACCTGTTTTATCATTAGCCGATTACGCAATTGGATCATATCATGCACGAATCGATAAGAGCACATACATGGTGAATACTATGCCGCCACTCATGATGAGCCTCGCTAGGCGTGGAACGGCTCCCGACCAGAAGGTCAGAATGCCCTCGTCCTTGAAGATGCGTGCTGCGCAGACGAAACTATTCCTATAAGTCTTACTGGCTTCTAGGGATTGCATCCTAACACTGTGTCAGTACGCGTCTCTGAGGAGATGTTTGACTTGAACACAAACCTGGTCTTCACAGTATCAAGGGGCTGCGTAACGTAACTAGATAAGAATGGATTAGCAACTCTTCTGGACAGAGATATCGGCCACATTGACGAGAGTAGGGCCACAGTAGGCTTACACCGTGATAAGGCCGGCTATTCCACCGATGGCAAAAGTGCTCACAGTCCCCAACTTCTCTCCAGGAGCGACCTGGCCTTGGGCCATCTGTTTCAGCATTGTATAACTCGAGAATCGTGTCGCCGAGTTGGCAGCCTGGCGTGCGGTTGTAGGAACGAATCCTTGGAAAAAACCTCGAAGGCCCCTTTCTTGGTAAATGATCTTGCTCCCATGCAGGAACCCACGCATCCGGGGCTTCTGCGACTTTCGATCATCAATTCTAATAGTGCCACAGGGTGTCAGTTCTGTCCGCCTGAACGAGGAGTAGTGACCTAAGCTCATAAAGTAGCTGGCGACCAGGGTCTAACGAACAGTTGTGTTTTAATACTCTCAAATGGTGTCACTGCCAACAATGACTCAGTGAAGCCTGCACCGAAGCCCGCGACAACTGTTCGGGGCCCCGAGATCTTGCCGTTCTCGTCTTGCAGGAGTGACTTCAACCAGTCGAAAGCGACGAACCCTACCCACGAAACCAACGCATCAGTCTCAGAGTAGCGTCAAAGACTCAGCACCACAAACAGAACCACTCACGGATTCCTGCCTTAAGCGAATTTCCAATGATCAGGGTTGTGCACCCAGCATACCATTGTGAGCCAAATGGTGGCCATGGAAGTTTCTTTGCATCGGGGAGTCTGCGGTTGAGTTGGGTACGGGTCTTTGCAACTGGAGAATTAATTAGCCATTGAGAATAGACCAACCAGGATCTGTCTGTTCCGTACATTCGGCTGGATAAGTGATTGCTAATACTGTTTAGCTTTTTGTAAACGGAGGCCAAGTGAGCATAGCGAGGTATTACCGATCTCGACGGCACCGGCGGTTGAGCCCGCGATAATCGATCGCAAACTACTGGGCTGCGTCCACAGTTTAGAAGTAACATTCTCATGAGCATTCCTCTTCAGACTAAACAGACCTTCGGCCGGTGATCTTTTTCGACGGTGGCCATTGGCGAATGTGTTTCACCAGGTGCAATCCTAAAGATCTATCGTGTCAAGGTGTATTTGTCGGGACTTGAGTCAGAACTCAACTATGGCGGACTATAGTTAAGGTCTAACTCACTAATTCCCCGGTAACCTTATTAGTACGGGATTCCGCAAGGGCAGAACGCGCAGGACTCTTGCGTCTGCCGAAATGCCGAACTCCGCTCTACAATATTACTCATTTAGATGACGTCCACCTAGGGAATTGAGTTGACATTTAACTAGATACTGCACATCTCTTGACAGTCAGTAGCATCCAGTATACCCCAGGCTACTTTTTTTCCGTCCTTTTCTCTTTTCTCGCTTTTTTTTTGCTCTCTTTTCCTTTTTGGTATCTTCCTCGTCTTTCGATTGTTCTTGCCTTTCAATTTCCACAAGACACTCGTTCCACCTTCTCTGCCTTTCCTTCTTCAATAGCCTTCAGCTCCCCCAGCATTCATTCCGCTTGATTTCCTCGCTCCTCACCTTCCTCTTTCCTCTTTCCTCTTTCCCTCCTACCTCGCTCTTCCGGCCCCTTTGCCTTTTTCCTCCCTCACCGGGGTTTTTTTGGTCCGCCTCTCCCCGATCTTATTTCATTTTCTGTCTGAATGTTCCCACGATTTCAGTGCTAGAGTTTATCCATGTCAACGACGAGCACAAGGACGGTCACGAGATATACTGGCAAACGACGTGGCCCAAAGCGAGTGTAAAGAGACGAAAATGCATAAAGAGTCGTGAAGACTTCGCCGTTAGCGCCAGGGATGCAAATGCCGGTGTTGTAGCCATAGTCATGCTGTGCCGAGAGGAAAATATAGCCCAGTGCCGTGGCGTATGGCGAGCCTGGCAAATGAGCTCAGGATATGATGGTGAAAACCGGCATAGCTGGGGGTAAACCCAATCGCCTCGTTTCTGTGTGTTAGCCGAAGTTCGCCAGAAACGCCAAAAACATATACCTTGCAACGTGTCCGCGAACGCCTTGATCATTTCACCTGATCCCAATGCAGTCCCAGAGAAAGATATATGTACAAGTGATCAGAGCAATGGCAAGAGCCTGACTCATCATCAAAAGGTGAGTAAGGGACAGGTAATGACCGGAAACAAATACACACTGAAAGAAACCGAGCATATTAGGTATGATACAGACATAGATGTTCCTGCATCTTCGAATCCGAGGTGCAGAGACTATCATGTAGGAGACAAAATTCACAGCAAAACAAGACACCAGGAAGGTGCGACAGTGTTGGGCCTATAAGTTCATGTAGCCAACAATCATCGCAAAATGAGCAGACCACAACCAATAATGAGAGAGAAAAGAAATAAGAAGGGCATGGCAAGAGTGAAAAGCACAAAAGGCAAAGGAGCTCAGAAAGGGAAGACGTAGGCGTAGCACTCATTAATGCGGTAGCTGGTCGTTTACGACACTGGTGTAGTGTGAGTCTTGCCGCCTGTCTGACCTTGAGAGGCGCTAAATTGCTTCGCATCGTTATGAATGCTGCGACGTTGGCCCTGGCCCCGGCCTCCGCGGTATGAGCCTCGGCCCCGATGGAACTGATAATGCCCGCCATTCGCATGGTGAGTAGGACGACGATCTGCGGCAGTTGCATTTGTGACTGTGGTATTGATATGAGGTTGTGATGGGTTCGCGATAGGGCGTGGGATTGTGTCAGGTGAATCGTAAACATAGAGCTTTTTGTCGATGTTCTGAGGAATGGGCTGGATTTCCGTCCCCAGTTCCTGTTCAATTTTATACAAGTTGAAACGGTCATCCCAGTTGATGAGATTGATAGCAAGTCCGAGATGTCCGAAGCGACCTGACCGACCAATCCGATGAAGATAGGTTTCAGCATTCTTAGGAAAGTCAAAGTTGATGACGACATTGACAGCTTGAATGTCAATGCCGCGGGTCAAGAGGTCGGAGCAGACGAGATTACGGCAAACGCCGTTGCGAAAGTCGTGGAATACTCGGTTTCGATGTTGTTGAAGCATCCTTGCGTGTGAATAGAAGCAGGAATACCCCAGCTCAGTGATCTTCTTTGCAAGTAACTCAACCCGATTGGTGGAATTACAGAAGATGATTGATTGATTGATCTGTAATTTGGAAAACAGGGTGTTCAAACAATGGACTTTCTGTTTCTCCTCCACAAATGCATAGTACTGCGTGATTCCTCTTAGGGTGAGCTCGTCCATGAGGTTAATCTCATAAGGGTTGCGCATGTGTTTATCCTAACATATGTCAAGGGCCATTCTTTGGGATAGATACATCTCATGATAAACCTACCTTGAAGGATTTCACAATCAGTGGGAAAGTGGCACTGAAGAGCATCACTTGACGATCCTTGGGATGAAATGACAACAGCTGTTCAATGACTGGGGTGAATTCAGGCGATAGCAATTTGTCGGCCTCATCCATGACGAATGTCGGGCATTCAGAAAGATCAGCGACACCTTTGCTCGCCAAGTCCAACACTCGTCCAGGCGTTCCGACAAGAATATGGACGGCGTCATTCAAGCGGATGATGTCATCCATCAATCCTGTCCCGCCTGTAGTAACCATAACGTTGATGCCAAGATGTTTCCCCAGAGTTTTACAGACGTGAGAAGTCTGAAGAGCCAATTCCCTTGTGGGAACCAGAATGAGAGCCTGCGTTTTGGTGCTTTTGGGGTTAATGCGTTCTAAGGTTGGGATGACGAAAGCCGCTGTTTTCCCCGTGCCGTTTTTGGCTCGCGCTAGGATATCTCGGCCGGTGAGGGCGACAGGTATCGTTTCTTCTTGGATAGGTGATGGTTTCTCGAATCCAGCTTCGAAGATTCCCATCATGAGTTCACGTTTGATGTAGAAATCTTCGAATTCAAGGCCTTTCGTAGCAGTAACATCCTGGGCGCAAGTCAGATGGCGACGAGCCCGGGCACTACTTCGAGTAACAAACCTCAGTCTGTGGTCTCGCATCCTTGGCGGGGACATTTAATTGTTCCTTCCACTTCGCATCCGAGCTGGTATCCCTGGCAGAATGTAGACATGGTCAATTCAAGCTTCATTGATAGGGAGGCGAATACAGTACCCTAAGGTAGTGCTTTTCATTTGTGAGGCTAGTGCGTCGGCCATATTGCTTAGTTGTTCGAAGATGATTGTGATTGGTATGATCACGTTTCTTTCTCGGTATAGAGGTGGCCTAGGAATGCCGGATGGTGATCGAGTGTGCTCAAAGCTTCGAGGTGGATGATTTGATTTTGGAAACTATCGCGTGAAACAGGCTCGCTCCGGTGCCGTAGACGAGGGCGTTGTATCGTTCGAAGCCAGGGAGACTGCGTTTAATGGGTCTGCCGGAAGGAGGGAAACGACACAGGAACTGATAGCGATGAGATTTTTGTTGCGGTGAGTCAAAGGTGTGATAAGCTCTAGGAAAGGATTTCAACAGGCGAGTCGAATGTATCGCTGCGGTAGCGTAAGTTGAGTTGAGGTGATAATTCGGAATCGGGGATGTCTTAGCAATTCCAATGAATTGTTGGGTTGAACTGGAAAGGGCCTGGAGACGAAGTCACTGCTCTTCGTGTGGGCCGGTTTGGGCGTAGTCCAAAAACGGGCCGAGCCTCACAACGCGGTGGGAGGAGGTATGGTATGTACTTTTACAACGACTCAGGACGTACGCAGTTACCCAAGCAAAGCCGGAACGAATGCTCCTTAGTTCTAAAGGATCTGGGCTGAATGTGAAGGGCTACAACTGCTCAATAATGAGATGCATGAAGAACTAGGTATGACTTCGATAAATGGCAGTCAAGTTCAGGAATTCCGCCTAGCCTATGGTTACCTGGCGAATTACAGTATTACGTATCGGGATTTCACATTGCTCAAGACAATATTGCCACTGGGCATTCGAATAACCCGTGGTTTCAAATGCTCACCCACCTTTTTTTCTACCTCATTGTAATGAAATTCACAGAGAATAGGAAGGAGGTACTAATGATCACGAAGAATTGCAGGAGCTCATAAAGGCCCCATAACATCTACAGAGTAATTGACCTTGTACTGTATGTCTAGAAAGCCAGCCTTGTCTGCCCCCGTTCGGGTTCTGCCAACCTATATGAGCCCAGTAAGCTGCTGTCGGTCAACTTTTGCAATGAGGTAAAGACTTACTCCTTCACGCGAACATCTGGCGCCAAGCTTATCTCCGCCCTGGATCCGGGCGTAATGAGTATAAACTGCCGACCGATTGACCGCCTTGCCGCGAGCATCTGTGTTCACGGTTAGCAAGCTTCGCAGGAAGTCGCATGAAAGACAATCATACTAGCATGTCAATCGCCATTTTTCTGTTGATATGATCCATGTACACATCACTACAAGATCAACGTAGTTAGTATCCGATTGCACGGTGGAGATTGAAGACACATACAACTCGTCCAAGCATCGAATCGGGGATCCCATAGCCTCCCACAATGCCAGAAGCAGGCATACCTGGGAGAAAGACTTCTCACCGCCAGAAAGCGTCTTTGCACCACGGCCCACACTGTCTTTCGTTATGTCAGGCTCGACCTGTAGAGGATGATTATCAGGATAGATCGGCCACGAAACGAGTTGAAATCACATACTTGTAGATCCAGTAGTTTTCCCTCGTGATCTGTCAAAAGTCGACCTCGAAAGCTCCTTTCGCTGAGTAGATAGGTGAATTGTGCCTTGGCGCGTGAGGAGATATGCGACCTGAAAATCCGCCAGCGTTTCTTGCGATGGTCGAGAGTTGTTTTAAGTACCTAAGCAGACGTGTTTAGCCAGGCCTTTTGGATATTGGTATGATCGTCTTACTTCGGCCAGTGTTTGAAACTCATTGACTTGTTTCAGCGCCTGTTCGTAGGCTTCCTTTGCCCTGGAGGCCTGAGCAGCGAGTTCCTCGCGGGTTGCCCCCAATCTAGGAAGTCTTCAGCAACTGAGTTCAAGACCATGGGCTTCCATACTTACTCCTGGTTATATCGCCTAAGATCCGTATGAAGCCTATCGAGCTTCTTATCTAGGCTGGCGGCGGTTTCACCCTCAGCTATTGCAACCCGCGGTGAGACCAAGCTCGCTTTCTCGCTGAAGTCGAGGATACGTGCAGCTATCTCTTCCAGCCTCTGCTGAATTCGAGTTCTACCTTTTTTGCTGTCACTGATTCGCTCAATTACTGCGTTCTTCTCGCGGATTGATCTTCGGCGGTTTTCCATGCTCATTTGTGCTTCGTTTTGAGCCAACCTGAGCTCTTCATTCATTGTATAAACCTCTGCTTCTTTGGCCGAAAGCTCGTGTTTGATCGCTTTCAGTCCCTCCATCATGGCATCCATAGCTTCAATACCATCCTGTAGGGACCCTTCGTTCAAGCGTTTCTCTTCTTCTGCTTCTTCCAGGGTAGTCTGAAGTACATCAATGCGTCCGTCTTCCACAGATTCTTTATCGAGTGCCTCGGTGATCTCATCAATAAGGTCTTCTGCTTTCTGCACTGCGATACGTAGTTCGCTGCTTCTCCTGTCATGTCTCACGCGTGCTTGTTTGCAGCCTTCGAGACTAGAGCGAGCGGATCGAAGAGACTGCTCTTGATCACTGAGATTTCTACGCAAGTCTGCGAGTACGTCTTTCTGCATGCTATTTGAATGTCAGTAGCTAGACAATTCACCGAAAGCGGAGTTGTGATTACCTAATCTGAGACGCAAGGTCGGATTTCATCCGGGGACTCCCATTGTAGGCTGGGACAGGCGCCTGGCTTGGTTCACCATTTCTGCTATAAGAAAGGTGAAATCCTCGTCGCCGATTAGTGGGGTCGATGCAATAACACCTTTTCACATTGCGGGGTTTCTGTCCATCGAAAAGTACCGACGACGCCTCTTCTAGGTCCTCTATCAGCAGCATCTGTTCGATTCCGTGATTTATGATTAGCTGTCGACGGACTAATTCATTGTCAATCTAGAAAGCCCAGAGTTAGAACAAATCTCTCAAATTAACATGTTTCAATTAGTTTCCACTTGCTTGAAGTACCCGCAGGGCTGTGTCATAGTTGGGATCTGGTTCGTGGTTTGACGTATCAAGATGACCATCGCTTCCTATGAAAATCGGGCATACACTTTCGCTGCTGTCAAAAACCAAATGCCATGCGATGAGTTTCGAATTGCTCACCAATTGACTCTCTGCATGATATTCGACAAGATGTTCATGTCGCTTTTCGAGGTCACAACAAAGCTGCTCAAAGTCGTACCGAGCGAATTCTCCAGAATAGAGGACCATTTTGGCTTCAGCAAACTGACATAGTGCCCAATTGGGCCCACGGGGCGTCTGCGGAAGGACCCTTCTTGTTCAATGGCCTTGGTAAGCGCTGGCATTCTTTCGTGAAAGCCAGAATTTCTCGCCCCGCCCTCTCTGCTCAAGTTTTGTAGAACCGACTGTGCTTGCTCAATGTCGGCTTTAACCTTATTGACAGGGGCAGCGGCTAATTTCACTTCCTTTTCAGCTTCACCTATCTTCTCATACAAGCGGTTTCTCTCGGCTTCATGCTCCTTGAACCGAGCACGGGCATCTTCCGCGCCGGCTTTTGCCTGCTCGAGTTCCTCTTGTTTTCTGATAAAGCTTCCCCCACTTATATCACTCAAGCGCTGGTGCTCATCTGCAAGCTTCTTCCGACTTTCAGCTATTCTAGTCTCCGCAGCCCTTAAATACTCTCTGATCTGGCGTTGCTGGGCCTGCGTGCATGCGTTAGAAATCTCTCTCAACACTGAACAGCACGTGTAAGGTGGCCTTACCTGTAGACCATGACGTTCACTTAATTGAGCGTCCATTTTATGTTTGATCTCATCCCTACTTAATTGACAAGTCTCAAGCTTGGAGGTAGCCTGCTGGACAAATTCGGCCGCAAGTTCGGTTTCTCTCTCTGCTTCCTGTATGCGACGTTCATAGCTCCCGAGATCCGCTTCAGCAGCAGCTATATCCTCATCGGCTGTCGTCATCTCTGTTTTCAAAGAATCCTGGATCTGCTCATGTTTAGATTATGCAGCATAGGGGCTTCGGCTTCGTGAGCGTGCTTACCCGCTCTTGTTCCTCCACTTGAGCCCAAGCCATTTGATTGCGAAGATTTCGAATGTGATTACGCAGAGATTCATGCTGGTCAGATAAATCTAGTTTCCGCTTTGCTGCATCCTGACGACTTTTCAGAATTGTGATATCTTGCACTCTGCTTTTTAGCTTCGCCTCGATCTGATCTCCAGACTCTTCAATTAGACGGTAGTCCTGGTCAAGTTGTTCCAATTGAACACCCTTCACGAAAAATTTGTACTTATCACTGGGGCTAGACGAGCTAAGGAATTGACGAGCCATATCCTGCGAAAGAACGTTCATCGGGTTGTCAAACTGCAGGGTAAAGTAGTCAATGATAGAATCAAGCTCCGCTTTCTTAGTAGAGACGATACGCCCACTATCAGACTTGATCTTGAACCCACTGGTGCCCATCTTGGAGAAGTGGCGCTCGATAATGATTGATTTTCCATAATCATCTGGCATGTAAGCGCCATCACCCTGATTCTTGATCCGCACTACAATGGTTGCGCTCCTGAGGAAGTTCAGAATTGGATGCATATAAGGGACTCGAAACCTACTCTTTGCCTTCCTTGATGAAACTCTTCAGACTTTGCCCACGGTTTGTGGCTGAAGCTTTGCCACCCAAACATAGAGTGATAGCCGTGAGGACTGCACTCTTGCCAGAACCATTTTTTCCAACAACAAAATTTATCAGCGGACCGAGCTCGATGTAAAAATGGTCATGACACATGAAATTGTAGCACTCGACGCGCTCCAGAATGCCATGCTCGGCAGGCACGTTCGGCTCATCACCAGCAAATGAATACTTCTCCTGGATCACTTGTGTAGCACGAAGCTCAAGTTCATCCTCATCATCGTCGGGCGGTTCCGATATGTATGGAGATGTTGTGTCTTGGATGTCATCGTCGTTGACTTCATCGGATCCGGAAGAGTTAGTTCCGCGCATGCGTTTTCGCTGGTTAAATCAGTCATATGCCTTTATCACGACGGATATATTCAACGTACCGATGGGGGTGCGTCTGATTGCCTCTCCTCATTTGGGTCCACAGAGAACGCCTGGGGGCGCTTACTTGACGGCATTGAAAACTTGAATGATCTGACTTGGGCATGAGAAACTTGGTATGGTTTGGTATGAGAAGTATTCGACCACTGGAGTGCGCTGGGACCCCCTTTTATTAAAGGAGAAGTGGCCTGGTTTGGTGAGAATGGTTGGTGATGCAAATTACAAAGAAGTCGAAAAGCTAGCGCCGATGCTCTTTCTTTCTTTTCTCTTGAAGTGTGGAATTATTTACAGTAGTAGAACATTTCCTTTGTTTCGTGTTCTAAGGCTTATCGGCCGCTGATAAGGCGCGCGGTCGCGTGGCGCGCTTCTCGGTAATGGCCAATATCCCCGCTCAGTGAAAGGACATACATAAATAGCCCAGCTACCTGACTGCCAAGCACACGATTGATTGTCTACTGTTCGAGAAAAGCCGTCAAACGTCGTAAGGCTTTGTCAGATTTTAACCTACTATGAGAGTGCCCACCAAGTAATGTGAGGTGGGAGAATTACAACATGACTTGCCTAGAGGAGCAAAAGCTACTGTGCAGATGAAACATCAATGCACGCGATGCACGCTATTTAGATCGTCTAGGTTACGGAGTAAGTTAGCTAGTATTTTAATGATACGGCCTACGTCTCAGCTGTACCCACTTCTAAGGACACGCTTGGGGAGTCCAGTTTTATGACTTTAAACTCTGTGTCTATGGCTCAATATGCGACTTGAAACCTTTCAGGCATCAAGATTATGGGGTTACGGTACAGTGGTACACGATAATCAGAAGTGAGATCACCCTCAGGTGAGGATTTAATTGAGAAGTACGAGGCTATATTTTGCTGGCAGAAGGGAAGAGCTTGACTGAAGTAAGGAACATATGCATTCCCCTGAATGGCTCAAAGGTCCCAACAGACTGAAGCAGTTGAGTTAAGTCTTGAGGCTGAGATGCGATCGGGCGGTGCATATGACTAGTGGTTCATGGGTTCCTCTGCAACGTAGTGCAGATAAGCCCCCAGCAACTTGGTCCCTTCAATATAGTTTCTCTTGTCAAGCTTCTCGTTCACGGAATGGGCAGCATCAGTTGAACTGCCCATTGGGAGAAGCAAAACGTTCTTCCCGGTAGCTTGCTCAAAACTTAATGTGACCGGGATACTGTCAATGAATTAGCTTTGAGAAGATCAGAAGCAGCCTTGATATAAGCATTTTCCATACCTGCCGCCTTCGCGGGTCATGTCGGGCTCGACACCAAAGACCTGTTGAACAGCCTTGCTTGCAGCGGTGAAATTCCAGTGCTTCGGACTGGCCACCCACCATTTCCCGTCATGTTGGAGCCAAACGTCTAGCTTGTTCTTGCTGTTGAGTTTGGCGAACTCTGACTTGATATGATCAAACACAAGTTTGTTCACATCCTCGCTTTCCATGTTTGGCACTGTTCTGATAGAGAACTTGCCAATTACCTTGGCTGGAATCACAGTCTTAGCCCCGGGAGCGGAATAAGCACCCTCGATGCCATGGATAGACAAAGAAGGGTATCGCCACCTAGCCATGAGAGTTTCTTCCTTGGTAGGATGAATGCCTGTCTCGCTGCCCAAAGACTCATGAAGGTTCTCCATGGTGTAACTGATGTTGGGATACAAGGACTTCTCGTCCTCCGACATGGGTTCGACCAGATCCATGATGCCAGGGATTAAGATTTTTCCCTTAGGATCGACAAGTTTGGAGAGAACATTGACCAGGTCTGTCATCGGCTCATGGGCAGAGCCTCCGAATACTCCGCTGTGTAGATCCTGAGCAGGTCCTGAAACACTCACGGAGTAGTAATTACAACCGCGAAGACCATAAGTCAGGCAAGGCTTCTCTGTTCCCAGCCAGTAGTTGTCCGAGATACAAACGGCATCTGCGTCCTTGAAGAATTTCTTACTTTCGGTTTGGATGAACTCCTCCAGGCCTTCCGAGCCGTATTCTTCCATGCCTTCGAAGCAGCAAAGGAGATTGACCGGGAAATCCACACCCGCCTTTTTGTGAGCCTCGATCACGTTCAACCATCCCAAGACTGGTCCTTTGTCGTCAGTGCTTCCACGTCCAAACATTCTTCCCTGATCATCGACAGTCAACTCAAAGGGTTCTGTCGCCCAGCCGTCTTCTTTCAAGGCAGGCTGAACGTCATAATGACCGTAGACGAGAATAGTGCGCTTATTCTTGTCGTTACCATACCGAGCGACTACAACTGGAGGTAGATCAAGGTGCTCCTTGCCGGGCTGCTTGCCTAGCGGGCGTTGTTCCACTTCAGCACCCAAAGCTTCGAGCTCGGAGGCGAGGAACTGAGCCATCTGATGTGAACCCACGTGTGTGTTTTAGCTGCGGTCCTCTTGAGGTAGGGTGGAACCTGCAGAAAGTACCTTGAAGACATCTTTTCTGTTCTCATCCTGCGCAGAGATCGATGGAATGGCAACAGCCTTTCGTAGCCCTTGCTATTCGGTCAATACACATCATATGGGCAGGCGATGGAGAACATAGGCCCATACTATCAATGAAGGAACCGGATAGGTCGTCGACCCTGTATGAATGAAGCATTAGACATGGTCAAAACCGGTCATTTATGTGAATTACAGCAGGAGGCGGCACACGTCACATGGTATGTGGTGATGACCGATGAAGCAGGAGTGACGAAAACGTTTCAAGATGGTGAAGCACGATAGAAGGAGGGGCAGGCTGGGGGCAAGGGAAGTTGGGCTCACTGTTTGAAAAACGGCTCAAGTTGCGGTGCCATCTTTGAATCGCTGATGGGTCCGTAGAATGCGTGACGAGAAGATAAGCGGCGTACGGTGGAATCAAGAATTGTGTGAGATGTCAAATTGCCCTTGATGTGGAACGGAAGTGACAAGAAGGGTCTGTACTCCCTAAGCGACGTTGCAATTCGACGGAGGGGGAGGGGCATTTCGGCCGTGGACGAAGACTAGTAGGATTATTATTATTAACAATTACCACCTTAGGGACAGGCAGTAAAAGCAAGTACCAGGTCAGGAAGCCTAGAGTTTCCGCGAATAAGCGGCTACCCGGCTAGGCGAGACTCAACTGGTATCAACATGTGTCTAAAATACCTTTTGTAGATCATGATGCCTTCATCAAATACTTGCTTGGCTTCAGCTAAAGTAATTCCAGGGATCATCTAAATGATACATAAATAACGGTTTATGGCAAATACATAATTATACAGCGATCAATGGCTTCTAATAGAACATATATTGAAACAACGGGCAACAATTTAAAGGACTTAGTAAGCCCTGAGTAAAAGGGGTAGAGCATTTGAGAGGTTCGGAATACATATCCCAGAACAGAAGAGCATGCTGGCACAAACAGTTTTGAAAGATTGTCGTCAACAGTCTCTTCCCCACGATTCCTTCCGCAATGTCCGGTCCTCTCTAGCCATGCGGCGCTTGGTGCCCCATCTTGACTGCACCGCCTCCAAGACTTGCTTCTGCATTTCTTTCTTTTCCCGACTGGCTCCGCACACCATCGAGATGAAGAGTGGTGAGCAATCAAAACGCTTGGCCAACTTCGAGCGACTCCACGTCATCGGGTCACTGGTTCTGAGCCTGCGTATTTCTAGTACATCAGAGGGGTTCAAGTGATATCGCTTTGGACCAGGCGATTTGTTCAAAGATGCAAGCTCGGCAGGGTTCTGCTGGCTGATTGAAGTATCACTAAGTAAAGATCTCCGGATGTCGTCGCTAGGAAGAAATTTCGCTGGTGTGTGGTAAACCGATGGGGAGCTTGAAGGAGGGTTATAGACGATGTGATCTCTTTTGACCTGACCCAACGACGACCCAAATGAAGCATCGGGCTTCACACGTAGGCGTTGCTTTGTACGTCTATAAGAGGACTGGCTCCGCCGAGACGTGAGAGGCATGAGTTCGCATGACGAAGGTAGAAGGAAGGGCAGTGAGAGGAAAGGCCTCTTGACTGCAAGAGTGCTAGCCATTATCAAGTCGATTTGCTGGAACACGCTCCGTGAAAGTGACAAGATACAATCAACTCTGGATTGCGTGAGGAGCGAGGCGAAGATTGCTTTTCAATAAATCTAAGGTGAAGGCGAAGTTATTAGCGCATGTGTTGTGTTGTTAGCTTCAGCAGAAGCACACCCGGGATAATTATGCATGGTGCACACACTGATGAAGATATAGCTAGATCATGATTAGAGATGTATGTAGCGGAAGTCTGAGTCGCAGTGGTATGAGTCGCAGTGGTATGAGTCGCAGTGATATTTACAGATGTGAATAGAAGGTTGAGCTTTTCTGGGCCGCAAGTCCCGTGATAAGCTTAATAATAAGACACTGCATTGAGCATGTGCATAATATTACTCCGCGGGCAACCTCCCGGACCAACTTATATGCCTCAGGCCTTAAAAAATTACGAACCATGATTGGCTGAGATTATGTGCGCACATGAAGGGATTAGATTGGCTACTCAGGTCATAAGTCACGTGAGCTGCGCTTTACAGAATGGCAGAAGGGCGGGCATGGCCCCCAGCTGCATATTCAGACTATAGGTCTGAATCAATAATTATATAGTTGTATAGAAGCAACGTAGTAGAGGGTGCTTAGAAAGGTACTTAAAAAGGTGCTTAAACAGCCGTACCTTAACCTATAAACAGGCCCTTAAATAGTTGCGTACCTTATCCATGCCCTTGAGCAGCTGCGTAAGCAAGGCTGTATAGACAGACCCTCGTATATATTCAGCCTATATAGGATATCGAGTAGTATACTTCGTAAATGAGCTCGCTATGAATCTGTATAATCACATATCAGCAGCTAGGCTAGGTTGTAAGGCGCAACACGTAAGACCCAAGTATCTATTGCTATAGTGAAAGTGCTTCATGATTGGTTCCTGCGAAGGAAACAAGGGTCATGTCGGTAGGGTAGCCTAATTATGACTTGTGAAAGATCCCTTTAAGGCTTTGTACAGGACATGATTTAAAGTATCCTTCGCTGATGAGATCGCTTTCTTCCATCTGTAGGACTGCATAAGATACACCATAGAAGGGCTGCATATCTGAAGGCAGGTCTCCATATTGCGCCTCATATATGGTCACGAACTAACAATGACTTAGGTAGTCCTAATAACTGACTGAAGCTTGAGGCGGGTTAGCGATCTTTGGAACCTGGAATCCCTGGCATCAAGATAATGCAGTAAAATCCTTCCCATGGTATATCATGCTCCGACCTCAGACACTGCTTTCAAAGCCCGT